TTAATTTTATGATTTTTATTTTATTATTTAATATAATATAAATTATAAAATAAAATTTCTTTAAAAAATGATATTCGTATTATGAATGAAAAAAAGTTAATTTATTTATTTTTTATATAAATTAATAAAAAATAAATACATTGATTGCTGGCTAATAAATTACAGACCATAGAGAAATCTCTGGGCAAAACAACATGGTACGTGCTAAGGAAAATGTTAATAGACGGAATCCAAGGCAAAATTTTCGTTTTAAAAAGAAAATAAGCCACCAACGAAGGGTTGGATTAAGTGGCAAGCAACTTGTTCCAATTTAAATAAAATCTCGAGTTCGAGACCTTATGTACGCAGCAGTCTTTGTTAGGAGACCCACCCATCATTCTGGTATGCCACAGCTGGTCGAGTCTGAAGTAATCGGGATGAAACCTCGGATACCGGATGGAGAACTAAAAAAAAAAAAAAGAAAATAAGCCAAAAAGTGAAAGCAAATAGTACAAGATATCATGTCGTCTAGAGGTTGTTGAATTGTTATTGCCAAGTCCAATAATGCAGTGAAAAAGTAAAAGCAAATAGTACAAGCTATCATGTCGTCCAGAGGTTATTGAATTATTATTGTCAAGTCCAATAATGCAGTGAGGCCCGTTGCACTTATGGTTTTTTTTTTTTGTCCACATAAATTAAAAATATAATTAATATATTTTTTTAATTATTAAAATTTATTAATAAAATAAAAAAATTGATATTAATTATAAAAAATTCATTATGATAGATTACTTTTCTCACCTTTTACCTCTTTACTTATGCATTTATATGCTCAGTACAATTGGCAAGTAATTCCCCAACTTTTTAGGCATTTAATGGTTACTAACTCTTATTTAGGATAATTAACACGTTACTTTATGATACAATTAGAATAATGATAAAGATTTACCATAGAAACCCTTCAATAATAAATAATTAATTTTTATAAACTTTCATTTAATAGATATTTAAATAGGTTGATTTTGCTTCGAAATGTATGAAAAAGAAACCAATAATAAAAAGGTTGTATATAATTATATTACGTCATTATATCTCTTTAATTTTTTCTTCTTCTTCGTCTATTTTTTTTATTTTACAATAATTAAATTGAATTCTCATATTTAACATGTTTTTAGTTTTTTGACTATAAAGTATATGAAAAAATAAATTACAGTCTGTTTATAAAATATTAACCGTCTAATGAAGAGGATTTCCGATTTTTTTATTTTATAATTAAAAATAATTTAAATTAGTAAAATAAAATACCATAGACATAGAGTATAAATTAAATAAAAAATTAATTCATTGGAAACTGCACCTTCTGAAGAAGCCATTCGCCATGTCCAATGACGCAGCAGGACCACGTGGGACGCAGTTATTGTTATACAGAAAAATGTTAAAGCTACGCAAACTGACAAGTAGAAATTTTCAGAGCCTACAGGAACTATTCTGCTCCTTCCATCATCAGATCAGAACCGAATCTCTTTTAGTTTTATCAAGTAATGCCAGATGCCTGAATTCGGTGAATTTTTGAGGACCACTATTTTCGCATCGACTTCTAGTCCCTCGTTAATGGCAACAAACAGTGAGTCCCTCAAAAGGGGAATTACAAGGGGAACGAAAATTTAAAATTAATGATGTAATTTA